ACTGCAATATCGTGATAATATCGTATCGTGACCCAAGTATCGGGACATGTATCGAATCGCAACACTCATGCCAATACTCACATCTAGTTCATGTACAGTTTGAGCCTTTTTCACTAAATCAGTAGACCCAGCAGGATTACAATTAACAGTGCCATATTTATAGATAATATATTTACTAATATCTTAGATAAAAATACGTTAAGTGGATTAATAGTTCAGCATATTAGTGATCATCTTCCAGTCTTTGTTGTCAGCGACATTTTCTACATAAAAATAAGGATAAAAGTGATCCACAGTTTAAAAGAGTAAGAACAGAGGAATCACTCAAATCTTTCAAAGAGGACTTATTGAAACATAAAAGGGAGACAGTTTTGCAAGAATACAATGTTGATATAGCAAATTATAATTTTCTTAATACCTTTAAAGTAGTATATGATAAAAACTGTACATTAATAATGTTCTCTCATAAAAACAAATAATCAGAAGCTCCTTGAATTACAAAGGGTTTACAAAATGCCTGCAAAAAAAAGAACAAACTATATAGAGATTTCATAAGGCATAGATCTTTGGATTTAGAGAATAAATATAAGAATAAATGAACTGCTAATGTATGAAAAGCTAAACAGGATTATTACAGTAAATTATTAGATAGAAATATTTAACATATCAAAGGGATTTGGAATGTACACTGCAATTGACATTAGTAATTTTTTCTTAAAATAAGTGCATTTTTTCTTGAATTTAGGGAGCAAAGTGAGACATTTTGCCAATGTAATGAGACAATTTACATTTAAATAGAGAAAAAAACTATTGCATTGTCTTATTTCAAGTGCATATTATCTAATGATCTTAATTTAAGAGTGAAAATACTCACCCCATTGACAAACTATCTTATTTACCTACTCAAATCAAGGGTAAATACACTTAATTTAAGACAATTTTTCTTCTTTGTCGATCATTTTTCCAGTGTATTAAATAATTTTGTCAAGAAAAACCAAGGAAAAAAGACATTTCCTCAGTTTTTGTAAATAACGACCACATTAATGACATTGTTCATAATTTAAATAAATATTATGTGAGTGTTGGACCCAAATTGGCAGAAAAAAATCCCAGATCCTACAACAACTGGAGCTCCGAATGACAATTAAATCAGCAGAAATCCTTTTTCAATGTTTCTCACTGCTGTGAGAGAAAGTGAAATTAGAGATATTGTCAATAAATGTAATAAGAAGAGGTCAACTGACTGTGATGCCACTGATATGACAGTAATTAAGAAGGTTATTGAGGAAATTATTCAGCCTCTGACTTACATCTGCAATCTGTCATTTCAGTCGGGTAAATTTCCAGAAAAGATGAAAATTGGCAACGTTTTTTCACTTTATAAATGTGGGGATAGACACCATTTCACAAATTATAGGCCTGTTTCTCTGCTAGTATTTGAGGGTAGGTTAGATACATTTTTTTTTTAATTGTAATTTTTTTTCAATCTTTGTTTATTGAGCAAAATGATCTCAAACAATATTTCAAATAAATGTACATTTTTCTCTTTTTTTTTGGAAGAACAATCAACCTGCACACATACAAACAAAAACAGACTAACAAACAAATCTACCCATCAAATAGCAAATGCTAAATTAGGCGTTGGGGTCAGGAATAAATGAGATATCAGACTTGTTGACATATTCGAGGAATGGTCTCCAAAGACTCATAAACATTCCACTTCTACCCATCATAGACAGTCTGATCTTTTTCTAGTTTGAGAAAATCGAGGATGTCCTTAATCCAATGGATGTGTGAGGATGGTACAGAAGATTACAAAACAATCAG